TTCCGCGTGGCCTCCCGCATCAGCGTCTCTGCCACACGGCGTGTCCTGGTTGGCCAGGGCTGCTGACGTGGTGCAATTTTTTTAAATTATATTTTGACCCCTAATTTTCAATTTTCTTTTTAAAAATACCCCCCAGTACATAAATTTTCACCCTTTTTTTTTCTAAAATTGTTTACAATTAAATCCCTAAATAATTTTTTTTACCCCTTTTTATTATTATTTCTATTTAAATAAATTAAATTAATTTATTGATCTAAATATTTAAATATAATTATAACATATTTAATGTCTTATAAAAAATAAAATTATAATTTTTAGATAAAAAATATTTATTTAACTAGTTTAATTTTCAACATTTAATGATAATTATATATATAATGCATGTAACTCCATAATAATAAAAGAAAACAGTAATATAAAAAATTAACTCCCTTTGGAAAATCATCAAAAATAGTAAAAATTATATTTTATATAGTGACAAGAACAAAAATAAAAGTGTAACAAACTATAAAAGATATGTAATAAATTATGTTATAATATAAATAATATAAATAAATCTATAAGTAAAATATAGCCTTCTTTGTTGCCGATTGTGGTTTGTGAAACAAATAAAGAAATTCCTAAAATCTTCGCACAGAAAATAAAGAAGTAAAAAAAAGATAAACAGTAATATTTACGGTTTTTTATGAGTTTATGAAAAACTGTAAAACGGTATTAGTCAATACTAAAAACTCATACAATGTTAAGGGTGGATTAAGGAAAAATTTGAAAGTATAACATTAACATAGATTATAAATTAGTATAAAGGTTTAGATTAAAAAAAAATCAACTAGCACATAGGTTGATAGGGCATTAATGTTAATTTCTTTAATTTGACGTAGATTACACGTTAAGTGACACGTTATTGCACACTAGTCATGAGTAGGTAAGTTGTGAACCACATATCAAAAAGTTAACAACCTCTATACAACATATAATGTTGAAAGTGGATTTCGGTAAAAAAATTGAAAATACATTTTTAAAATAGGCAAAAAATATGTACAAAATTTCTATTAAGAAATCAAGTAATATAGAAGCTAATAAAATATCTCTACTAAATGAAAAATAAAAACCTCAAAATTTGGAAACATTCTACTTATTTTCATATTAAGCTTTACATTTTAAGATAATACGTCGAAAACTGAATTTTCACTGTGTCTACGGGCGGTCCCTGGGTTTCCTGAATTTTTTTTTTGGGAACTGAAACGCGCTTACGGTATCTACACATTTTCACTCTGCCTACAGACCCAGGGCCTACTTGGCCAATTTCAAAATTTCGGCACGGTGCCACCGCCGCGAGCAGCGGCGATCTGCCTCAGGTTGGTTGTTTTTGGTCGAATTCAGCCAAAATTGCGTTGGTTCCTGTGAGAAAATACCCCTAGGGCCCTCGGTGGGCCGAAAAAACACCAAAAATTGAAACTTACTGGCGGCAGGACTCTCCGGTGTGGTGGCTCCTCTGGCTCGAGTTGCGATTTGGTGTTTTACTCTGGTCAACCTATAGAGGAGGGAACGATGGTCAAAATGGTGAAAAAATTATATCGAACGGGAATCAGGAAGGGCCTGATCGGAGGCAAAAATTGAAAAAACCCGCAGCAGCGCCGCTGGGCTTCGGCGGCATTTTTCAGCCAATTAGCCGATGTTTTTGGTCAGATTTGGCCATTGGTGGGCTCAACATCGAATTCTGAGCCAATGAGAGAATTTTTACCTCGTTTGGCGGCCAGAAATTGCTCCGGTGTGGCGCCAGGTGGCGGCGGTCGGCTCCCCGGCGGCTGGGCTATTTTCTCTGGCGATGGGCTCTGGCGGGTAGGGTTAGGGTTTGGGTGCGGATGAGATTATTTATAACCATCAACTTTTAATCTAAGTCGTCATCGCGATTCAATCTAGGCCATCCGATCGCGATTAAATAGGAAATGAATCTGGACCGTTCATCGCGATGCAATCTTGGTCGTCCGTGCGTGATTCAATCTGGTCTATCTGTGCCCGTGCAATCTGGGCCGTCCGTGCGTGTTTTTGATCTGGGTCATCCGTACGCGCGAGAACGGATCTCAGCCGTTTGATCACGCACACGCGGATCACCCACGTGGCTCCCTTCTGCGTTGCCTCTCGCGTCAGCATCTCTGCCACACGGCGTGTCCTGGTTGGCCAGGGCTGCTGACCGAGCTGCAATCTTTTTAAATTACGTTTTGACTCCCAGTTTTCAATTTTCTTTTCAAAAATACCCCTAGAACCCAAAATTTTACCCTTTTTTCCCAAAATTTTTTCAATTAAATCCCTAAATACTGTTTTTACCACTTTTTATTATTATTTCTATTTAAATAAATTAAATTAAATTAAAACCATATATTATTACATAATAAATCATTATATTCATATAATAATTACAAAAATTAAAATAAAATAATTATAATAATAAAAAAAAAGAAAAGGGTTGGGGTGTTACATTTACGGCTTTTTATGAGTTTATGAAAAATTGTAAAACGGTATTAGTCAATACTAAAAACTCATACAATGTTAAGGGTGGATTCAGTAAAAATTTGAAAGTATAACATTAAAATAGATTATAAATTAGTATAAAGGTTTAGATTAAAAAAAAATCAACTAGCACATAGGTTGATAGGGCATTAATGTTAATTTCTTTAATTTGACGTAGATTACACGTTAAGTGACACGTTATTGCACACTAGTCATGAGTAGGTAAGTTGTGAACCACATATCAAAAAGTTAACAACCTCTATACAACATATAATGTTGAAAGTGGATTTCGGTAAAAAAATTGAAAATACATTTTTAAAATAGGCAAAAAATATGTACAAAATTTCTATTAAGAAATCAATTAATATAGAAGCTAATAAAATATCTCTACTAAATGAAAAATAAAAACCTCAAAATTTGAAAACATTCTACTTATTTTCATATTAAGCTTTACATTTTACGATAATATGCTTTAAGTTTCTTCTTCTCTCTATTAATGAATTTTTTTTATTTTCTCTTCCCTCCTCTTTCTACAAGTCTCTCTTTCTTTTTATTACTTATTGTTAAGTGTAAGATCTAATTTCTTGAGCAATTTGATGTCTTATTGAATGGGAGAGAGATGAGAGGTGGATTAATCTCACTGGGTATGCTAAAAGTTTATAATGGCAAATTTACTGTCTAAAATACTTAAACAAAATTATATTAGAAAAAAATCAATTTATATTTATTGACAAATAAACGAGTTTTAAACTATTCCTTCTTTTGAACTCCATAGATATTCCTTGATTTGACAACCAAGGTAAACTTTGGTGAAAGAAAGACTAATAAATACATGCTGGAAATTTGTCACTTTTGCTTATTGATCCCTTTATGAATATTGTCACGGAAGACTCAGTCTAATCCTTAAAATGGCTTGAATACTTGAGGGCTCGAAGAAATTATAATGACTCTTTTAAGTTTGATAGAAGATTTTTATTCATAGATGTGGTAAGATAATTAAAATTTAAAAGAAAGATTCTAGAAAGTAATGTGAAAACTGTTGTTTATCCATCTCTTATAACTTATATTTCAATTGGGCTTGAAGTTACCCTGATAGTATCATTTATTAGTTTTGGCCAACTTGAAGCAATAGACCAAAATTCTACTGAAGTGCTTGAGCTTTCTTCTATTTAGCCTATGCATTTATTTGAATTAACTAAGCCTACTGATTTATCAGTTTAGTCTACTTATATTTTCAGCAACTTTTGTCATTACTTTCACGAACGTTTTTGCTTTTATGTATACAAGTAAACACAACTCCAACAAGTACGTATTAGGCAAAAATTTGCTCCTTTTAAGATAAATATCATGGTAATAATATATAATTCAATCTCTACCACCTTCCAAATTCCAGTAATTAGAAAATTTAATTTTATAAGTTACTTGTATTATCAATGTGATTCGACACGATATGTGGTATTAAAAATAGCTTCATTATAATAATCAAATTATGAAAGATACAACAAAACACACAAGAAATAATAAGAGCCAAACCTCTTACCCAAACATTACAAAGACATAGACACGACAACCATAACACGTCCATGAGCACAACAAAAGAGGTGGGACTTTGCGGCAGATAGAGCCCACTTTATTCTAATAAGTAGTTAGCTAGGATACCACAACCATAGGTTTCTTTCCCTAGCTAGGATACCACATCCACAGATTTCCTGTCCTTTTACAACCATCAGAGTTTCTCTTCTTTAATTTCATACTTAAAATTAAAGGAGTTAATGCCAGTGTAAAGACCATCATCCAGATAATAAGTAGTTTGTTCTCCATTTGTAAGGGTATCGCGCTGAGAGTATGAGAATGGAACATCACATGTACCTACTGTTGCAAGCAACATCACCCTCACAGTAGTCATTGGTGGCACAGTAGCTTTGTAAACTGTTTGTATTTCTTGTTTTGTTTCCTTTGTTTCTCCCCATTCATACGATCCCTCGAAGTCAGCAGAAATTTCAATATTTCCTTCTGCAATGATTGGAATTCCTGTCTTGATGGCGGTTGTAACACCCAACTTCAATGAAACACTTGAGTTCCAAGTTTTGCTTGTTGTATCTGAATATGTGAGCGTGATTTCGACTTCATCTGATTGGTTTGTCTTATTCACTGCAACTCCATTCGCCATGGTGATAACTTTCTCACCATAAACTCGAGCATCGAGGAGGCGAAAGTTGACATTATAGATTTGCCTTGAAATGACAAGTTCTGAAACCTCCATCCTGGCCTCCTTAGGAATAGTTGGCACTGAAGCATTAAGACAACTTGTTTTACCTTCAGTTGTGAGTCGTGCGCAATAATAGTTGTTTCCAAAGTTTCGAAGAGCAACAACATTGCTGGCAACTTTAACTGGCCAAAATAATGTATCGGGATTATTATCTTTGGTGTATGTTGTGTCAGCCCATATCCAATTTGGACTACGCCTCCAAAATTTACCGAAGTAATCAGATTTCACGCGAACGCTTCCGTCATTGGTTGTAAAAATTTCATAACCCACAGTTGGATCCCCGATATCATTAGATGCATACTGATGATATTGATGTCCTTCTATCCAACGAGCACTAAGATATTGACCATTGTCACCCTTAAAAGCGACATGTTTGGGCAATATTAACAATGACTCCCAATCAACAATTATGCAAATATCACACTCATACTCTTCAGGATGATCATAGCCTGCGAACAAACAATCACCGAAGGGTGGATCTAGCCTCCACAAGGAGCAATAATGTTTAAGTTGAACATGGAGAAATCGAAGCTTTTGAGAATCGCCATCTATGAAAATGGGTTGAAACAATGTGCAAGACCAGTCAGATTGATTTTCATTATGTTGGTCAGCACCACAAATAATCCACCAATGATTTTTGGACCACCTAACCCAATATTTGTTGTTGTAACAACACCGCAAGTGTACCAGTCCACTTGCAGTCTTAGAAGGCTCTACTTCAAACTTTGAATAGGGACTTACAACCTCATCTCCAGAGAATTGGAGAAATCCATGCACTTGCGTATCTTCATGAATGTAGCGTAAATATTTGTTGTTGTATTTTGATTTTAGGACGATGTACCTTGGCAATACCATTTTCTCTCTTCTCTTCTCACTTGTAAAGTACTCTCTTCTTAACTAATCTCACTTTTGTAATTTTGTTAGGACAATTTGCTACGGTATTTATAATAAACGTTCAGACAATGAAAAGTTAATTTATTGTCATTGTGTCTTGTATTTTTAGTGCATAAATGAGGAAGAAAAAAACATGTGATTGTGGTGGATCTTAGTGCATAATTTTGGTGTGAGAGTGAAGCAAACACTTGTCAAAATCTTGGTAAGCCTTAGAAACATGTGAAGTTATTTTCTAATATATGTAATTAACTAGAAATTAGTTAGTATTTTACACTAAAATGTGGAACTGGTTTTAAAGTTGTGAGTTTTGAAATACAATTTATATATTTATGATGATAAATCCCCATATATATATATATATATATATATACGTTTTGTAATTTTAAATCATTTCTTTTTTTCTCTTTTACTTTTTACAAGTATTATAACTTTTAAATATTTCAGAGTACTTAAAAGTTTTATTTATAGATAAGATAAAATATCTAATTTTTAAATATAATTAACATACTCAATGTTTTATAAAAAATAAAATCGTAATTTTTAATTTAGTTTAAATTTTAAATACAAATACAATGAGGGATTTACCGCAATCAAATAATTTTTATATACAAAGATGAATTGGAAAAATAAATGTATATAAGATTGTAGAATAATATAAGCCAGGAAAAATAAATGTATATAAGATTGTAGAATAATATAAGCCAAAATTACTTGATCATATACTTTAATACATGTGTTTAATTAAAAATTAATTGTAGAAATTATTAATGCTGGTTCATGATTTATGGTTTAATATAGTGAGAATATGATACAATATATATATATATATATATATATATATATATATTACTCTATTTCAAAAAAGCACTTTGACTTAACTATTGATTACAGACATAATAAATTACGACTAATAATTTTTTTTTTATTTTCTTAGAAGTTATATACATAAATAAAAAATTCTACCAATCATGTATATTTTCATATTTTTTATCTAATAAAAAATTATGTTACTGTAAAATTGACATATGTTTTTTATATTTAGAAAATTATAGTTGTTTATTATTACAAGCCACCTTTGTGATTCTTAAAGAAGTGTCAAGCCTTTGAGAATGGCAATTAACTCTACATAAATCTATTAATTACATTTTAAGCAAATACTTCATAATTATCATCATAATTACAATATAATATTTGTTAATTACATATGTTTATGTGATGATTAAGGGCAAACTTCATGTATCATAATTATTAACCAGGTGAAGCCCGTGCTTAGCTCTGAGTTAAACTATATATATATATATATATATTAATTTTTAATAAATATAAAGTGAAAGAAATGCATGTAACTCCATAATAATAAAAGAAATCAGTAATATAAAAATTAGCTCTATTTAGAAAATCATCTAAAAGAGAAAATTATACTTTATATGGTAAATAGAACAAAGGTAAAAGTGTAACAATAACTAAAAATTATGCACTAATTTATGTTGTAATATAAATAACAAATAATATGAATAAATCTATAAGTATAATATAGCATTCTTTGTTGCCGATTGTGGTTCCTTAAACAAATAAAAAAGTTCGTAGAATCTTCGCATAGAGAATAAAGAAGTTGAAAAAAGTTAAACAATAGTATTTACAGTTTTTTATAAGTTTATGACAAACTCTAAAAGCCTAAACCCCTATTAGAAATTCCGAACATATAATTCAGTAGTAATCAAATAAACAATACTGAAATTTATAATTTAACATAAATAAATAAAATTTAAGGTTACATTCCTTACACAATTTACTTAAAATACCCAATAAGATTACTGGATTGCCTTTGAAATTTAAATGAAAAAAATATAAGAGAAAATAAATATGATTAACTTCGACTCAAAACTGATGACGCGAAAGAGGCAATCTCTTAACTAGCTTCGTGTTGTTCAGGATCTAGGTTTTGGTCGTCATAATCTGAAATGGTTAATAATAAAGGGGTGAGATACACTAGCTCAGTAAGAATATCAACGTTATACCAATGATATGAAAAATCAAAGGGTTGTAGAAAACATAAAACAATTAATGGAGCTCATTCTTAATAAAACTCGAATACTAGTGTATTCATTATTCATTTCACTAAAAACGTTAATATTTTCTCAACTCACATGTAAATTCTTAAATGCTATTTATTAAGGTAAGAATCAGGATAGCAATCTACAATACACATTCTAAAAGACATATTACAATTAATCCTACGGTATTTTTTAAAATTTGATTCCTTACCATATTCATCTCTATCATTTTACCTTTCTTACCGGTGTTGTTGAGGGTCCATAGGGATCTACACTACACATAGACACGAATATTTTCTCTACAATCAAACGGTCGTCCTCATACCCGTCCAATAATGGGCGCCACAATACACAACCGTCTCAATACTCTGTATGGTATGAGTGTAATTAAAACAATTTCATACCCCATCCAGTACGGGACTTCTCAATCCCGTATGGCTGAGGATAACATACACGGTAGGATTCAACCTCCACCAAGTTTGTACACTCTTTTTGAAGACATCCGGTAAGCCCCTTTTATTTAACACCATTAATTCATGCATATCTTTTCTTTTATTCACTATTTAGCCTTAAAAGATATGTATATCTGCATCCCAAGCAACATATAAGTACAGAATTCATATTTTAGAGTATGTACATGAAATAAACATGCATTATGCTGACAAAAACGTATTATGCACCCAATAGAACGACATGAAAACATAGATTAACAAACCTTATCACGTTAGTAATAGACTTAAAGTGAATAAATTAAAGTAAGCAGAACAATGAAGAGATATGTATAATAAATGACTGAAGAAATAATTACTGCAATTAAAACTCAAAATAAGCATAGACTGACCGGTTACTTACTCCATTGACAGCCTGTACTTAATTAATTAAAGGGCTGCCAATTATCTAACATTTTTATTTATTATCAGTTTGACTTCAATTTAACCATAACAGAAAAAAAGAGTGAGGGATTCTTACCTTGGATTGGTTTTAAGAACACTGCCCTTTTTCACTATGGTTCCCGGTTCTTGAATATCTTAGTTTTCTTGCTAAGATCGAAACGTACGTCAAAATGGCGTGAAAATACGCCAAAAACAACAAAAAAGACAAAACATCTCATCGGGGCCTCAGGTTGGGGTTTCGGCACAGCGGTGCTGCCCTGCTCCACTGTCTAGTCCTTTTTCTCTAGTGGCTCTTCCTCTTGGTCAGCTCGTTTTTTGTTAATTCTCGGTAAAAATCTGTTTAAATCATGGTTAGTAGGTGTTTCTCGAGGAAAGGAGGGGAAAAACATAAGCTTATCTACGATTTTGGTCCTTCAGTGTGGTGGCTCAACTAAGCTCCACCGTTCCTCCCTCGCAGTTCGCAGTTGTTCTCATTTGCCCTAAACAAAAACAAGTTATACGGTTAAAGATGGAGAAACAGAGAGAACGGAAAGAATTTTCGGCATTCCGACACGGTGGCGTCGATATTCCTCCGGCGGCTAGGTCTCCTTCCGGCCGCTTCTCTTCTTCCTCTCTAGATTGATGTCGTTGGCTAAAGTTAGGGTTTGTTTGAAGAGAGGTTTAAATACCTTTCTTCTTCTAATCTCGATCGTCCATTCTGGGAAATGTGGCATGCAGATGGTCGTTCGATCGAGCCTATTTGCGAAACCAATCTGGGTCGTCCATCCGGGTCTATGTGGGACGACAGAAGCCATCTGATTAGAGCTTATTCGAGAAATAGATCTGGTTTGTTTGTGCGTGCAGGAGTGAATACAGACCATTCGATCACCCTGGCACGCGGATTGCCCGCGTGGAGCCCGTGCCAGTGTGTCCGCCACGCGGTGCATTCTGATTCGTCGTGCTACTGATGCGGCCATCCTACGTGGATAATTTCTTTTAATTTGCGAAATGGCTCCGTTTTTTATAGATTTCTTTCAAACATACCCTCCTCTTATTTACAGTTTGGCCCTGACTTCTGAAAATTATTTCAAAAACGTCCAAAATGCATAATTCTTAAAACATAATAAATGTAAATAAAAATTAAAAACTCTTTTATTTTTATTATTAGAAAAATATTAAAATTCAACATTTCGAGCCTAATTCTTGGACTTGGGGTGTAACAAAAATTATAAAACGGCATTAGTCAATACTAAAAACTCATACAGTGTTAAGGATGGATTCAGTAAAAATTTGAAAGTATAACATTGAAATAGATTATAAAGTCGTATAAAGGTTTAGATAAAAAAAAATCAACTAACATATCTTGACGTGAAAGACACCTCATGTGACACGTTATCGCTTACTAGTCATAATTTGAAAACTTAGTAAATAACATAACTTTATATTAACTAAGAGAAAGATTAAAATTTACATATTGTATCTGATTGCAAAATTTTTTTTACTAAATTCCAGGACTCTTTTGCTCCATCTTAAGTATATAGAAAAAGATTTTATTATTCTAATATATATCGTGATAAAGTTTTTAGGATATTTCAAATATAACTTTTATTTTCATATTCTAAAAAGTATAATTACTTATGCCTTTTTATAGGTAAAATTAATGTTGTATAGCAACTTTCAAGACTTTTATCATTAACAGATATTTTAACTTAACCAATGATTGTTTGTAATGTTTCAACCCTAATGTTGGTAGGTGCGGACACTTGTACACCATTTTTAACTAATAGAACGAATAAAAATATTAATACATGCAGCAACGTTACACATTATTATACATCCCTTAAGCAGAATAATAATTAAATTTGAGATTTGTGAGGCATCAATAAAATTATTTATAAATAATTTCTTAATTTAATTTTTATTTACTGTACAATTTTAAAACAAAAAAATAAAAAGTTTTCTTCAATATCTCCTATTGATCTTGAAATCCCTCTTGGTCTTCCCAGATCTCAAATAGAGTGTGAACTGGGGTGAA